CACTTTTTTGTGTAGAATAAAATGATTTGTTTCATTGCAAAATATAAGCAATATTAATTTGTGGGTAATTTCTCAACAGCCTTTCCAGAAAAACCCTAGAATTCAAACAGATGAGAACGATGCTGTATCTATTTTGAAGAACTTATTTCAGAACCAAGGATTTCTGGTTCTGGTGATTCACACCTTAGAAAAGCAGAAGGATTTCTCAATCAAGGACAGGTGATAATGATTGATTTAAAAAATTTTTGTTAGGTTAACCCCTTTTCTCCTAAGGGTAAAACAAATCTAAATGCCTAAGCACAAATTTGTAACATTGACCTGTGTTAGTAAAAAAAAATGTACATATCGTCACAACTACTTTGTACATCCAGGTGGATTATACCTTTTTTTTTTCAGGACAAATTGGACTTTCATTTGGTGTTAAATGGTAATGGATATCTCCTGAATTTTTTTATTATCAAAGGAAAACTGGCCCAAATTAGTAAAAAAAAATAATGTTTTTAAATGTAACTGTGTGTTTCGTATAGCTACAATTGCACCGCACCTGCACCAAAAAGTTGCAGGACCCTTTTTTAGGTCTGCACTAGAATCGGATTGCATAGGTATTCACACCTATGCGATCTGATTCTGCACATCACACTGTGTTTTGCGGACCGCTTTTAGGGTGTTGTTAACTTAACATACACACCCAGCAGCGGTTCGCATGAACGGGGTGTGATCCTGATGCGGTGCGAAATTCGCACAGAAAACGCTGCAAATTCCGCAACGCATCACGGCTTATGCATAGTTAAGGGAGATTTTTTATTGTTTCATTAGTAAACTTTTATGAAGACACTGAGTCAGAGCTCAAGTCATAAGCAAAAGCAATATCTTCTGCCACACCATTTATAGCCATTGATACATGACGATTTACATTTTTACAAAAGCATACAAATGCAATAGAAATTAGGCCTCTGCTCTTGATAACTGTAAAAATGCATTCACATGGGCAGGCAAAAAAAAATTTGCAAACAGTTCTGACCTAAGCTCCCCCTAAACAATTGAGTTCAATTTAGCTCAGTCCCCATGTCCGTGGTTGGAGAGCAGTACTGTACGACTGCCTGAATATTTGAACCTTAAAGAGAAGCATCACCTGTGTATCAAAAGGTTGATACAAGTACTGTAGCTGCTGACATGAAAAAAAAACAAATACAGCCCAGACCAAGAAGTCCAGTGGTGTCTTTCTCACACCCTCAGTTTTCATAGCTTTTTTCTTTTCTCACACAATTTGGGAGACTGGCGATCTCTTCCTGATCACTCCCAACTCACTGTTGCTCATGCCAGGATCCAATGAAGTGTGGGGAGACTTTCCTGATGCCTACTGGGATACACACTTCCCAGGAGGCTTCAGGACTAACCACTAAAAAAGGTACTCGATTCCCACAAAAAATAACAAAACAGCTGCGAATGTGCAACAGTCTTAGGGGGAAGATGGGAATGATGCTGAATGATGCTGAATTTGACTTTCGAAGGAAGATCTGTTTTATGTGGCCTACTCACTAGGAGAATGATTTTGACAGCTGGCGGAACACTATCCCCACAATATAAACTCACCAGCCTATTTATTAGGGACACCTGTTCAATTGCTTGGTAACACAAATTGCTAATCAGCCAATCACATGGCAGCAACTCAAGGTGTACCTAATAAAGTGGCTGGTGAGTATGTACTGGATGCTCTTCTGCTTTCAACACTTTTGTACTTTGCCATGCAGCAATGCATTAATTAGATAGAATAACATATAGGGCAGCACAGTGGCTAAATGGTTAGCACTTCCGCCTGGCAGTACTAGAGTCATTGGTCCAAATCCCAACCACGGCACCACCTGCCTGGAGTTTGCATGTTCTCCCTGTGCCTGAATGGGTTTCCTCTGGGTACTCCGATTTCCTCCCACACTCCAAAGACATGCTGGTAGGTTAATTAGATCCTGTCTTAATTGGACCTCGTATGTGTATGTATGAATATGAGTTAGGGACCTTAGATTGTACGCCCCTTGAGGGTTAGGGACTGATTTGAATGTACAATATATGTATGTAAAGCGCTGCGTAAAATTGATGGCACTATATAAGTACCTGTAATAAATAAAACATTTTATTATCATATTGTTATGGCGTAATGCAAAATATATTCCAGAAATGGTGATTATAAAATTATTTGCAGAGTTCAGAGGTTCCAACCCTATTTCAAGATTTGATTTTTGCAGAGTGGGAGGAGATTTATTCAAGCACAGGAATAATGACTTTAGTGGGAATTAAACCCAGATCCTCACCAATAAAGAACTCTAGTTATAGGTGTTGCACAACCATGCTATAGACAAACGTTTGGAAAATGTGTACATATCATGACTAGAATGGTAGGATGGAATGCATATGGATCTCTTTTAAAAAACTATATATGTTTGAATTTTGTTGTTCCTAGATGTTTGTTTGCATCCTTCCTGACCATCACCTTTCAGAATAATTTGCTGTATCTCACTGGATTGCTTGAAACATTGATGAAAGATCTAATAGAGCAATCCAGCAACAAAAATCCAAAGCTGATGTTAAGGCGAACAGAAACAGTCGTGGAAAAGTTATTGAGTAATTGGTTTGCCACTTGCTTGTATGGCTTCCTGCGGGTGAGAAAAAAAATCATATTTACTGCAGTTTACAACATGCTACAAAGCTGGCCTGCTTTTCTACATTTAATAACTGTGATGTGCCCTTTAATTGTATTTGATCAATTCTAATTATACTCAGTTTACTCAGCTGAAGAATCCTTACACTAAATGGACAGTAAGGAACATAAGGTGCCTTTTCATTAGGAAAGAGCTGATTGTAGTAACCCAATTCAACCATCAAAAATAATTTCACTGATTGGACTTCAGTGAATGGAAATCTGATTGGTCATTATAGGACATGGTACTTTGCACAGTATCGTTATTGTGCTGATTTACTTAAAAAAAGCTTGACTATACCATTATAGATGGCACTGTAATGACAATGTCAATAAATTACGTTTTGTGCTGTCTTTGTGGAATGAGACATAAAAGAGACAAATTAATGCAAATTAATGAATTTCTGTTCCTTTTTTTAACTATTATACTGCACGCAAACACATATAAAGGAAGCTGAGGCTGGGACATTTATGCAGAACCGAAGAATCAGCTAATTGGCTGCTAACATGCATTTAATTTCAGTATAACTGAAATTTGTATAATTTTGCACAGTTTGCATATTTTCCTGAAACCGGGTTTGCAAAGTTATGTTCTTTGTGGGCTCTGTAAACTACAGGTTTTTATAATTACCTGATTAAAATATATATATACTAAAAGTACAAAAATTTACCAATAACCATACGGTGCAAGAGTCCACCTGATTGAGTTTAAATTTAATTGGTTGTTTTACATATACATATTTATTGGTAAATATTATAGATCTAACTGATACATTTAAGGACAAGCAAAGAGGTGTGTGGCCAACTCTAGGTGTTGAGCCAACTCTAGCATTGACCAGATGGTGTTGTCTCTGTTTACAATACCTGCTTCCTACAAACACTTCCTGCATTCAAATTTTGGCCTGATTCAATACTATTGCAAATAAGGTTTTCAAAGTTTGGTCATGCAAGTCTGGGCTGGTATGCTTTTATTTTTCTGACTACTTCTTAGCCTTGGTTCAAAGATGTACGGGGCCGGTTTGCAGTGTGATTTGTATAAGATTCCGGTGTGGTTTTGTTCAGCAGTTTAGGTGCGGTTTCAATGCAAATTGTTAAAGAGTACAACATTGTAATTCGTACCTGAACCAGGCTGAAAATCAAACTGGACTCTTTTTTTATATCGCAATGCTGCCAGGCAACACATATGTTAACCGGCTCCATAGAAAACGATTTTGGTTCACATGTCATGTGAATCGGATGTGTTTCAAAACACATCCAATTCGCATGTATGTGAACCAGGTCTAAATCTCTACTACGCCTGCTGTAAAACCTAGCATAAAGCTTTGGACTGCACGTTTTACATAAACTCTTGGTTCTTATTAATGTTACTTCACTACTGTTTAGGAATCGGTGGGAGAACCTCTATATGGTCTTGTTTGTACTCTCAATCAGAGGATACACAAAGGTCCAATAGATGTAATAACAAGTAAAGCCCTGTACACTTTGAACGAGGACTGGCTGTTATGGCAAGTGGCAGACTTTAATAACGTTGTAAGTATTGTTTTCCTGATTAATTGTTTGTGGTGTTTTTATAAAAATTACCATGTAACACCATTTACCAATTTTTGTGTGCTATTGTTTTACTATTTATGGTGATATTTAGATTATTTGTAGAGAAGTAAATTTTGTTGTATTAGGCATATGATCGCTGTTCATGCTCGGTGTAAAATAATGAACACAGTGGGGAAGATTCTGGTGCAGCTGTGCATGGTGGCCAGTCAGCATCTAACTTCAGCTTGTTCAATTAAGCTTTGACATTAAGCCCTAGTTCATATATATATATGCGGCCGTGCGGGCCGCGTTTTGCACAGGCATGAGAGCCCATTCATTTGAATGGACTTCCGTGGCCCGTGACATACAGGGAAGAAGTCCCTGCACTTCTTCTGAAAACGCAGCCCGCACAGGAACCTCGGTTCCCAGTACGGTTGCGTTTTCCAGTGCGGGTGGCATGCCATTAGAACTAATGACACCCGCCCGCGGGTCCACATTCTTCTGTGTGGGTGGTGCGACTGCATGGATTTTTGAGTGGATCCGCTGCGGCACCACCCGCACATATGTGAACCAAGCCTCAAACCTGGAAGCTGATTGGTTTCTATGCAGAGCTGCACCAGATTTTAGACCATGCAGTTTTTGTAAATAACCGCCATTGTTAGTTACACAGTTCCATAAACACATTATAGAAAACTACCAACATAGTTTAATATCATACTCACTTTCCTGTTTAGTCCTGTGTTGTTTATACAGTTTGAATTCCTTTTCATCCCCATAGGACATTAATGTACATTACCCAACGCTAGAAAGCGAAGCTGTTGATGCCAGTCAGTGCATAAAAGTAACAGTTCTGGATTGTGATACCATCGGGCAAGTCAAAGAAAAAATCCTTCAAACATTCCTATCAAAAAATGGATATGCTTTTAGCTTCTCTCCTTGTGACATTTGCTTAGGTAGGTATTTTCTATTAAGTTCGATGTTGTGAATAATGTGGTGTGATTTGTGGTATGGATAAATGAAAACACTTTGAAGTAATAATTTCTGTGCACAACATTTAAAAAATATCAACTAGCCAAACTCACTCCCTAAAGTGGTTTTAAAGGCTTTACCTTCATGAATTCTATGTACGAAGGTAAAAAAAAACCTTTTGTGTGTAGCAGCCCCCCCAGTCCCCCCAACCTGAGTCCCGTCCCGATCCAGCGATGTCCATGAGAACCTCGGTTCTCCATGGACTCTCACTCCTGATTGGCTGGGGCAGCAGCAGGAGCCATAGTGAGGGAGCCAATCAGGAGGATAAGGGGGCGGTGCTGTGCTGTGGCTCTGTGTGAATGGTGCCCCATAGAAAGCTGTTTGCTGTGGGGGCACCCGACAAGAGAAGAGGGAGGGGCCAGGAGCATCGGCAGGGGACCCGGGAAGATGAGGATCCAGACTACTGTGTGTAAAACCACTGTAGAGTAGGAAAATATAGACATATTGTTTAAAAAAAACAAACAAAACCTAAGACTTTAGTATCACTTTAAAGGTAAACCTTAGGATAACTCAATAACCACGTATTGTCAGCTCTATATTAAAAATATATCTTACATCTATATCCTTTAAACAAATTTGAAATTTCTAACTCTAACTTTCTCTTTTACCTGGCTTAGTGGTTAGTATTTCTGCCTAGCACTAAAGTGATAGGTTCAAATCCAAACCATGACACTACCTGCATGAATTTTGCATGTTTTCTCTATGCTTGTGTTGGCTTTCTATAAAATGCCTGCAATAAATAATAAAAATAAATTTCTTTATTGATTTTTTTGATACCATATCAAACTTGAATTTATCTTATTGTCCACTCTAGTCCCTTCCTCACACTCCCAAATCCAGGACTTTTCATGGCCCTCCCCTTTCTCTGCAATTTCCTACTAGATACTGTACAATTTGACCATGTCCTTGGCACCTTCAAACATCTTTAAGACTCACTTCTAAGAACAAGCATTTATTCTAAGCTAACCTATTCACTTCCTTTGCTTAACCAATGTTGCCTTTTCCTGTGATACTCTCACTTTATTTTTAGCCTACACATATTCCTTACCTATTGTTTTCAAGCTTATATCTTTTATTGCAAGCTTCTATAGGCAGTTCTCTTACTTCTATTGTATTGTCTTATTATTAAGACATTTTGCTAAATGTATGCATTTGTTTTTTAAACATTTTATGTATTTTACTATATTATCCTCTCCTTATATTGATTACACTGTACAGCACAACAAAAGTTGACGGCACTGTATTAGTCAATAATAATGTGTTATCATGTTGACTCTTTTAAAGACAGGTTGGCCAACTGTAAGTTTACACTCTTTGCTGTAGGCACTACCCCAAGTTTAGGTTTAATATACACTCGCTGGTCACTTTAATAGGTACACCTTGCTAGTACCGGGTTGGACCCCTTTTTGCCTTAATTCTTCATGGCACAGATTCAACAAGGTGTTGGAAACATTCCTCAGAGATTTTGGTTCATATTGACATGAGTTACTGTTGCTTTTTCTATCATCTCGAACCAGTTTGCTCATTCTCTTCTGACCTCTGACATCAACAAGGCATTTTCGTCCACACAACTGCTACTAACTGGATATTTTCACTTTTTCTGACCATTCTCTCTAAACCCTAGAGATGGTTGTGCATGAAAATCCCAGTAGATCAGCAGTTTTTGAAATTCTCAGACCAGCCCATGTGGCACCAACAACCATGCCACGTTCAAAGTCACTTAAATTCCCTTTCTTCCCCCATTCTGCTGTTCGGTTTGAACTTCACCACGTCTAGATACCTAAATGCGTTGAGTTGCTGCCATGTGATTAGCTGATTAGCAATTGAACAGGTGTACCTAATAAAGTGGCCGTTGAGTGTATATAATACAGTGTAAAGTTATCCCTCCAATGCATTTTACTCTGCCCATAGAGCATAGTCATGGGTTTCACCACGACTAAGCTCTGTGGGCAGAGTGAAAAGTGTGGGGAGCGTGGCCTGGTTGGAGCTCAGGCTGAGGCTGTCACACACCTTTTTAGGGGGTTTTGTAGAGATGTGCAACTTCCAGGACTTCTCCTCTTTCCATTAGTTTGCTAGAGCTGGGACCTGCTCTGTCCTTGTCTGCACTCACGATTGCTACACTAGAGGACTCGGTGGAGCCTTGAGCAGCACCTGTCAATTTAGTTTGGGTCACACAGTGTAATGTTAGTGCAGGCAAGAAATACAAAAAATGAAACAACATTAAAGCTGCAGCTGTATATTTTCCGTAACATATGTATTTACATTTTTCACGTCAGTCCTGGTTCCCAGTTCCATAAAACTACACAAAGCTAGATGTTTCCTAAAAACATTTTGAACATTTTGTAGGCATGCTAATCACTGAAATTCTGGTATATTTCCATTAGTAATACCTGGCTTTGTTGTTTGTGTGATGTATAATAATCTCTCCATACATGTTTATCTTCCTGCCATGGTCAGAGCTTCATTATGGTCAGACATATAAGGAGCTATTAGATATAGATGAATCTTCTGTTGTGATGGAGAATGATTTTAAGAAACTGAACACTGTGAATCATTACAAGGTAGGTAACAGATTTGTTGTCTATCTTTTATTTATACCTTCCTAAACAACACAAGTGCACAATATAGGAACAATTGCTGTGACCAGATGCAAGTGCGGTCTACAGAAACTCAACAAGTGAACATCTATCATGTACATGGGATTTTATAGACACTGGGGGAGATTTACGAAAACTGGAGCCCTCAGAACCTGGTGCAGCTGTGCATGGTAGCCAATCAGTTTCTAACTTCCACTTGTTCAGTTAAGCTTTGACAATAAAACCTGGAAGCTGATTCTATGCAGAGTTGCACCAGATTTTGCACTCTCCAGTTTGAGTAAATAACCCCCATTGTTTATGATAAAGCAGAGCAAATTTTTTCAAACTACACACAACATCTGTGAGACATAAACACACATCTGTCCAGATATAAAAAAAAGAGGGAGAAATGGCTTTCTAAGGATCCTGGAATAAATTGCAATTCTGGTTGTTAGATAGTTTCAAAACTATACTCCTCTTGAACTTGGCAGAATAAAAATCTACAATTCTTTCATACATTTATCAGAACATATCAATCAAGCCATGCCTGTCTCTTTAGCTAACCCACAGGTCTTAGTAAATAATATGTCACAGTAGCAAACAGATAATAAAAGGTGTAGCTGAAAACAGCAGCACTAAAGATGAAGCTATAAATAAAGTCCACTATCTCACTGATAAACAGTTTGGATCCAGTACCTGAAATAGAACTGTAACTAAATAGAGAAAGAACCACAAATTCCAATATATACCGCCATTTGTAGACGGTATAACTTTCATGTAAACCAATTAATTTACACGTATTGGGAATATTTTTTCAGCAAAGACATGTAGCAGAATACATTTTGGCCTAGATTAATAAAGAAATTAGATTTTTTTTTTAAGTTTTACTGGACCTGTTTTATGGCAAAAAGTAAAAAATATTGTTTTTATTTCAATATCGTCAATGTTTTTTTGTTATAGCGCAAAAAATAAAAAACACACAAACACAGAAAGCCCTATTCATGGGAAAAAAGACATACATTTCATTTATCTACAGTGTTGCATGACACTGTAGTGACCCTGTCACTAATTAACTAAAAATTAAAATTAAGGGTGTCCTGTAAAAGAAGAAGAATGCTCACCTGCCCAGTTGGAAGTGATTCCAGTCTTTGCTGTCTCACTGAGCTATGGCCACCACTTGAATCCGACATTTCTGGGTATGTCCAATACCCAATCCTCTGCTGTCTGCTATGTTTTCTCCTGCCAACCCCTACATTATTATATTAGGCAAAACTACATGTTCATGCCTGTGAATGTAGGAGAGGGAATCACTGTGGTTGCCATTTTGTCATGGATGAAAACAATTGTGATAAGACAGAAAATCCACTCCATATGACTTTTTTGCCACTCCTCTCCTGTGTATGCCCATACATACCAACAGTCAGTCAGGAAGGGTTCTGTCATTAGTGCACATTACAGTTATAGGCTTTCACTGCTTTTTATGACTTCCAGCGCTAGCTGTCAATAATTTCCATTTCTTACTTAAGTGTTCTTGCACAGCAACCACCAGTGAAGTGTGAAGTGTTCTTCTAGTATAATTTACACCCCATCTGACACTTACTTTTTTGGTTTGATTCTGCTATCATTTTATTGGGTCTAAGTTTATGAGCACTGCTAATCACTTTTCTATATAAAGTCATTTTCACTGTTTTGTGCTGAGTGGGAAGGGTTTTTCTTTTTCTTTTTTTTTACATTTTAGTTCTGTTTTTAAGTGCTATAGATGAGATATGTCTAGTTTCATTTTTACATCTCTAAAATATTCAGTATATACTTCCTTTTGGTTGCTTGTACATGGTGTCATTTATAGAACACCAATGTGGTGAAAACAATTTAAACACAAAAGTGTGTTTATATAGGCTGGCAATATCTTGTTATGCTACCCTTCACATGGTACTGTATATCTAATACCTTCTTCTCCAATTTTCATGTAAACCGTTTAATGGAAAATGTTCCCTTTTGTAGGGAAAAAGATCCTGAAAATGATGAGAGAATCTCTTAAGACCTGCCCCCACTTTGTATTCATATAATTCCAGCTTTGTGATCTGTTTTACCAGAATAGGTTAATCAATCTAGCAACTAGGAGAGGACTGACAAGAGTTTGTTTGACCCCTTGATGGTTTATAACCTGTCCTTATGCACTGGGTTGTCTGGGGGGTGACTCAGAGAACCAAGAAAATTTCATATTTACACCATAGTCCCTATCTAGACTTGTCATAGCAATCCCCGGGAGCACTGTGCTTAGAAAGGGGATGAGTGGGGGATAAAGAAGAGCAGTCAGCAACTAGATCTGGAGGTTATGCAGGCTGCATGAGCTGCCTTCCTTTCTGGCTTGAATGACATTAGTGCCCCCCCCTCCCTTCTATCTCCTGCCTCTTACACTAATGTAAGGGGTGCTGCGTGGACTCTGATGTAAGGGGGACTTTGGTGAGCACAAACCCCCTTACATCAAAGTTCCCCTTTACATTACAGTCCACAGAACTCCTCCTTACAGTGAAATTCTGCAGACTCTGATGTAAGGGGGGGGGGAGATCTCTGTGGACTCTGATATAAGGGGGGGGGGGGCTTTGTGGACTCTAGTGTAAGTGGGGGACTCTGTGGACTGTGGTATAAGGGGGGCTCTGTGGACTGTGGTGTAAGGAAGCTCTGTGGACTCTGGTTTAATGGGGGCTCTGAGAACTCTGATGTAAGGGGGGCACTGTGGACTCTAATGTAAGGGGGGCTCTGGGAACTTTGATGTAAGGGGGGCTCTGCAGACTCTGATGGGGGGGGCTCTGCAGTCTCTTATGTAAGGGGGGGTCTGCGGACTCTGATGTAAGGTGGACTCTGAGAACCCTGATTAAAGGGGAATGCTGGGAACTATAATGTATTTTGGGGTTCTGGTTACTAGACCCCCATATATCAGAGTTACCCTTTACACAAGAGTTCACAGTGTTCAACCCTACATTAGAGTCCCCTCCTTACATCAGAGTTCTCAGTGTTCCTCCTTAAATCAGAGTCCCCAGAGTTCTTCCTTGCATGAAAGTCTGCAGAGTCCACCCTTACAGTGTACGGGAACATGAAAGTTCCGTTGTAAAGGGGAATTCTGCGAGTTCAGATGTAAAGGGGGAGCTCTGTGATTTCGATGTAAAGGGGGAACGCTGTGAATTCGACTTAAAGGGGAAATCTGTGTACTCTGCTGTACGGGGGGTTCATCATTAAATCCATATGATTAGAAATGTCATTTAATAAAAAAAAAAATATACGTATAGTGTATACTACAAAAAAAAATTGGTGTGTGCCGCTAAAGTATTCAGCTTTGGCTTGAAGAAAAGGTGGCAACCCTACCCAAGATGGCACAAAGGGGGCCTACTTCAGAACATGTGAAAGGGTCTCACTGAGGGACCATAATAAGGGGCTCAGTGGAAAGGTCACCAGGCTCAGAGGGAATGGCCCTGGCACCAGAGGTCGGGGGGGCCCTGAAGGTTCTAGTTATGCCTCTGGTGTGTTATACCTAGTTCCCCATAGCTATTTATCAGAAGCAAACACCTTCAGTGAATAATTGAAAATTGTGAAATTTCCTCTTAGGCTTCATGCACATGAGTTTATTAAAGTACTCCTGTCTGTGTAAGGATCTTTGAGCCAGAGGTGGCAGAAAAAATCAAACAGAAAAAAAAAGCTTGTTTGGCATGTAATTACAAGTGTTTATGTGTGTTTACTGGCATATGGTGTTTAGAAGCATGTAAGTGTAAAGTTATTCTACTGACCAGAATATTCATTTATTCTTGCCTGTGAAATAAATGAATGCGCGTTTATTCTCGTATGTACGTAAAGTATACCAGTAAGCTCCTATCCAAATGCAAGTTTGGGCATTTTTTATGCCTCTGAATTCTGCTCTAAAAACAAATCTAAATGTTTCAATATGCTAGAACACACCGACTGAAATGGAGTTGCGTTCAGTAGGGAAACAAAAATCAGCACTGCATAGAATATAGATTTTTTGGATAATTTTTTTTGGATGTCAATGTTGATTTTTCTACAGTGTTTATTGATCTAAAAAAAACATGTTTTTTTTCCAGATAGAGAATGGTGCAACAGTCAAAATAATTATCAGAAAGAATTGTGACCCAGGTAACTTACTGATGAGATTCATCATTTTAACCATACATGTAGAGATAGGAATAGCAGGTGAATGGATTGTGAATGTATGTTCAAATTATGCATGATGGGTTAAGGGTAACTCCACTTTGGTTGGAAAAAGTAGCATATAAAGAAATAATATAGCATATACAATTGCAACTTAAGTCACACTGTAATGGAATGTTATTAAAAAATGACCTTTCCTTTTCAATCTGCATTGTAAAATGCAATGCATTATGGCAACTTGGAGGTGTTCTGTACATAGATGTTGTACAGAACACCCTCTGAAAATGTCATTTCCTGCTGGTGTGATTGTCTCACTGATTTTGCACTAAGATACAAGCAGGGGCGGACTGACCATTTGAGCACTTGGCACTGCCCGAGGGCCGGCGTCAGTAGGGGGCCCCATGAAATGCCCCTGGTACTTTTTATAGGCTTTTTTGGATGTTCTTTGAGTGTGGGCAAGGACTCAGGGGCCCCATGGTCCCCTATTGCCCGGGGACCCCATGAGTTGTCAGTCCGCCCCTGGATACAAGTCAGATTTTTGGCATGTCCTGCGACACAAAAGTCATTTTTGGTGAGGTACACCCAAAGGAAAATCACGTCTAAAGAGATGCAGACCTTGCTAATTTCCTCATTAGAGCCCTGCAGGTGCAGCAGCTGAGATTGATAATTATAAAACCACTCCCATGCAGATTCACTCTGCACATGGGCACAGAAAACAAACAGCTATTTCCGAATAACAAAAGGTAGGAATCTGCAACAAAGTTTGTTAAAATCCCTGAAATGTACAACTTCACCCAGAGGGGAAGTTTTTTTTCTAAAAAAGAAAAAGTGGAGTTACTCTTTCTATAATCAGATTATGGACATGCTGTGGCTGATAGAGTCTGTTCACTTTGCAAATTGAATTTTTACTTTGCAAGGGAATTTACACTTAGCTTTGTGAGTAAGGGGAAGCTGTGCTGATTCGTATTGTCAAACCATGTGCAGGCAAAAATCTTTGTTCTTTAATTTGCCTCCTATGTAATGGAGTTGACTTTTTCAAAATTAATTTTCACCCTATTCACTAAGGTAAGTGGAAATTCACTTTGCAATGTAAACATGCTAAATTCCTTTACCAAATCAGCCACACTGTATATCTAGATCACAGATAGGCCATGATGCCTTTTGGCTTGAGTTAGGCCTGCTTTACTGGAGCCTGTAGGCTTGTAGTCTTCAGTTCCCAAAGAAACCCTTCATCTGCTAGCATCATCTTGTTTAACCACTTGCCCTCCTGGGGATTTACCCCCCTTCCTGACCAGGCCATTTTTTGCGTTATGGCACTTTGTTACTTTAACTGCGGTCGCACAACGCTGCACCCAAATAACATTTACATCCTTTTCTCCCCACAAATAGAGCTTTCTTTCAGTGGTATTTGATCACCTGTGTTTTTTAAAAATATTTTGCACTAAAAAAAAAAAAAAGACAGAATTTAAAAAAAACAATACTTTTGACTTTTTGCTATTAAACATGTCCAGTAAAAAAATTTAAAAAAATCAAATTTCATCATAAATTTAGGCCACAATGTATTCTGCTACATGTCTTTGCTAAAACAAAATCCCAATATGTATAAATTGAATGGTTTACCTGAAAGTTTCAGCGTTTACAAATGATGGTATATATACTGGAATTTTTTTTTTATTTCTACTAGTAGTGGCAGCGATCAGCAACTTATAGCGGGACTGCGGCGGGCATTCTGACTCTGGGGGGAACTGACTTGGTGTCACTGACATCCCCAGTGACACCAATACAGTGATCAGTGCTAAAGAAAAGCACTGACACTGTACTAATGGCACTTGACAGGAAGAGGTTAACATGAAGGGCGATCAAAGGGTTAACTGTGTGCTGTTTTACTTGTGCCTGTGTCTGTGCTTCATTGTAATCATACTGCTTTGGATGGTTGCGCTGTGCACAGCCATCCAAAGCAGTGTGTATGAGCTGACAGGGAGGAGAACTGTATTATTTACAAACAGTTCTCCTCCCCATTGGAGATGCTCGGCAATCACCGGGCGCCAGCGAGTAATCACCGACCGGGACACGGTCATTGACAGCCGCGGCCGTGAAAGGAGTCACGGGTAGGGTGCACACGCGACTTGCACGTGCCCCCTACCCAGAAATGCAAAATCCCGTATATATATATATATATATATATATATATACGTGATTTTGCGCACCCGTGCCTCTCTGTAGCAGTATATCTGCTCTAGGGCGGTTGGGAAGCAGTTAAACTGGACTTTCTCTTGCTTTACTGGTCCTAACCTGGCTTACAATATTCTGTGTAAATAAGTTTATAAGGAACTAATGTATTTTTGCTGATCAAGGAGGAAAAATGTTGGTCAATAAAAAGCATCCTCATTGCTTCTACAACCTATAGGCACCAGCCTATAGCGCCTAATGTTAGACTTGATTTTGAATGGAGGAGTTGCCATGATCTAGGGAAAGGAGGAAAAAGGGCAAGCAGTCCATTATTTTATCACTGACAAGGAAGGTGAACCTGAGAGGAGCAGTTCACTGTAAGGGCATAAATCAATTATTCCTGCTAGCCAGTAAATAGGACCCACTGTATTTCTATAGCAAAACAACAATGTACAGTATATGTAGTCTTTATTAAGGGTTTCTTGATTGATCTGGACTTAATTGTGCTAGGTGGTATCAAAAATTTTCAAGACTAGTTTTGTTACACTGCAAGAGATGGCAGCACAAGGCTGCACACACAGTCACAGGGAGCACCAACCTTCATAAGTCAGTATGCCAAAAGACGTTGTCCTGTGTACATCGGGAACTGTGCAACTGGTGCTATTCTGACCACGTGCATTACCACATCTGCTATTTCATCATGGGCAGCAAGTTAGAACAAAGCGCAAATGTGAAATTCTGCGTTAAACTTGGCAAATCTGCCACAGAGACATTTGACATGATTCGGCAAGTTTATGGTAATGCTGTAATGTGGTGTTCGAGGTGTTTTGAGTGGCACGCGTGCTTCAAGAGCGGAAGAACATCACTGGAAAATGACAAGGTATCAGGAAGACCTTCAACAAGTTCAACCCCAAAAATGTTGAAATGTCAACCATTCGGCAACTTGTGCATCATGATCGTTGGAGAACAATCCACAACATTGCTTCCGTTGTCAGTGTGTTCTACAGAACAGTCCAGGCAATCCTCACGTGTGATGTAAACATGCACCATGGTGCTGCCAAGTTAATTCCCAGGCTGCAATGATCTCACTTCCTTACCCATCCTACTTCCCCCTCTTCCCAAAGATGAAGATCCACTTCTAAGGTTGCCATTTTGACACCATTGTGGAGATCCAGTGTGAATAGCAGAAAGTGCTTGACATGCTTCAAAAAGACTTTCAGGACACATTCCAGATGTGTCAGGAGCGCTGTATTGCTGTGCAAAGGGACTATTTTGAATGTGATAGTGTGTAAACATAGATAAAGTACTTTCTTGTAAACAGACCTAGCCTCAAAACGTTTTGATACCACCTCGTAGTCTACATTTTAGCCCCTTTCTGGATGAAAAGCATCATACGAGAGGCCACAGGCAGCTTCGATTTTTCTGTCATTTTAGGTGAGCAAGACTTGGAGGGTAATTAAAGACTGGGGTTGGAAACTATTTGCCAAATCACACTTTACCAATACCTCACTTAATTTTGAATCTGATTTTTCTTTTTCAGCTAAACAGTATACCAGTGATTATGTGCATTTGGTAAGTAATAATTTGTTGTTTACATATGGTTGCTGTATCTTCATCCAGTGTCTTTTTTTTTTTATTATTGTCAGTCAGCAGAATGAAAGAATCAGCTTTGCAAATAGAATTTATTACAGTTTGGGCTTTGTTGCTGGTTTGTATATTACAATTTATGCTCCTGTATGCAGTGTTTATATAAACAGTTTATTTTGAAAAATATGAACATTTCCTATAGAGTTCCATGTACATTTTAAAAGCTTGTATAAGCACAAAGGGTCAAATAAGATATGAACTTTTATACAAGGGACGCTCAAGTCAAAACGTGACTTTTAGTTTTACAGGTATAAAAAGAGATGCTAGCGTGGTGGTACTACATGCAGTAGTAAGTAGCAGGTGTGTCCTATTACTGATAGGTGGCGCACATGTTGTCGGCCAGTCCAGAGACCGTTAATCAAGATGGCAAACAACCGTGTTAGTGTGTGCATGGAACAGCATGTGGTGATGAAGTTTCTTGTGAATGAAGGCGTAAAACCCACAGATATCTACAGAAGACTTCAAGCACAGTACGGTGATGAGACGCTCAGCCTCAGTAAGACATATGAATGCTGCAAATATTTCAAAGATGGCCACAGTACATCTGTCACTGACGATGCTGGCCGTGGTGGTTCCCAGCCCACAATGGTCATTCCTGTGTACATTCAATGCACGGAACGCCTGGTCCTGGATAATCAACGCATAACTTGTCGTGAAATTGCCAATGAGACGAATGTTTCTGTGGGAACGGTGAACACAATGATGACAAAGTGAAGCAAGCTGTCCTAGGATGGTTCTGACAAATCTTTCTATGCCAAAGCTTTCCAGGCATTAGTTAACCGTTTCAATACCGTGCAATTTTACACCTTCCTGCCCAGGCCATTTTTCAAGTTTCAGCGCTCTCACACTTGAATGACAATTGCGCGGTCATACAACATTGTACCCAAACTAAAATTTTATCATTTTCTTCACACAACTAGAGCTTTCTTTTGGTGGTATTTAATCACCGCTGGGGTTTTTATTTTTTGCTAAATTAACAAAAAAAAGACCAAAAAATTTTGAAAAAAAAACACATTTTTCTTTGTTTTTGTTATAAAAGTTTACAAATAAATAATTGTTCTTCATAAATTTAGGCCGAGATGTATTCTGCTACATGTGTTTGGTGAAAATAACCCAAATTAGGATGTATTTTTTAGTTTGTAGGAAAGTTATAGACTTCACAAACTATGGTATAGATCTGAATATTGATCAATCCTGAAGTACTGACAGCCAATCTAATATCTTGAGGTCCAAGAATGTCAGAACAGTACAGATATCCCCAAATGACCCCTTTTTGCAGAGTAGACAGTCCGACGTACTTCATAAGAGGCATGGCGAGTTTTTTGAAGTTGTATTTTTTTGTCATAATTTTTCGGAAAATTAAAAAATTAAAAAAATTATTTTCACTATTTTTTTTTTTTTTTTTTTACATACTGTCACCAGTGCAGTACAGCGTCATCATATAACTGGCATGGCGGTGAACAGCGACACTGGCTGGTGACAGTATGAAAAAAAAATATATATATTTTTTTTTTTTTAATTTTTTTTTTTTTACATTTTTTTTTTATTTTTTTTTTAAGATTTGTTTTCATATTTTACTATGACCAAAATAGTACAATGTTACCATAGTAACACTGTACTACTTTGGGGAAGTGATCAGTATTTTTTTTTTTTTTGACACAATTTGCTTATAGCAAAGAATTACTTTGCTATAAGCAAGCATTTACCTGAATGAAATCGATTCATTCAGCTTTTTTTTTTTTTTTTTTTTTTTTTTTTTTTTTTTTGTGCTTAGCTGTGATTTGGTCACAGCTAATCACATGACATGTGCATGTGATTAGCTGTGACCATTCACAGCTAGGCACTAGTATACAATGGATGGCATCATGAATGAAGCCATCCATTGTATACAACTGTCATGTGACCTGCTGTGATTGGTCACAGCAGGTCACATGGTACCGGCAACGGGAGCCGGTACTCGGATCTGTCATCGGCCGTGTCCGAGGTACACGGGCGGTGACAGATTGCACTGCTGCGTCGCTCTGTAACCGCGCAAACCGCGCATGTGCGGGAGCACGCCAAATGGCGTGCACCCGGAAAGCTGCAGCGCTTTTCAAGCCGCCAAACGGCCATTGGCCGGGCGGCTAACGGTTAAGCACTGGGATAAATATAAATGTACCAGGGGAGTATGTTGAAAAATAAATGCAGTTTACACGCCCTTTGTTCTTTTATTATATAAACTCAAAAGTCCTGGTTTGATTTGAACGCCCCTCGTATATTATGTCTTTTAATATTTAATCAGTAAGATGGTGCCTTTATGCTTAGGCAATTAAAGCGGAGCTCCACCCAAAAGGGGAAGTTTCGCTTTAAGCCTTTGTCCCCCGCTCTCCATTAAGGATTGGCACCCGAATTTGACAGGCTCCCAACTCCGCAGACATGGTACAGTAGATGGTCAGAGACCCATGTAGTGCCCTCATCATGGTCCTGCCTGACCAGAACAGGTGCTCTCAGTGTCCCCACACACCTCATGTACTCAGTGCTCTGGGTGACACAGACTCCTGTACCATGTCTGCAGTCCAAAGCCCTAGATGGCCTAGAATCCTAACCTCTTGGCTGCCCCCAACTCAAGATGTATTATGCTTGAAATGCCTGTTACCAGTTTCATTCTGTTGAGTGTACATCTATTAGAGGTGGCTGATCCCACTGCGTGATTGCTATTATGTTCACACCCAGCACTTTAGTTCGCTGCACCTTATTATCTAATGGACATTTATGTGGATCACACCCTATCACGGACATTATTAGTTTTATTACCCGTAATATTCTGCTATTATTTATATTACATTTGATATTGCGCAATACTACGGACATTAGCACATTACCCACATTACAATATATTTATATATTGAAGTATATTCTCTTGACTGTTTTTGCACTTTTATATGATGCACTTTGCTGTTCCACATTACCCATTTGATGCATTAATTGTTCCATGTTACCATGTGATTTACGGATCATTTTCTGCACGATGCACTTTATTGTTCCGTTCTAGCATATATTGATATCTTTTATGTGATGCACTTTGTTTCATTTTAGTACCTTTAGCAATGCACTTGTTTACGTATAAAATCAAGCACTTAGGCATGCAGACTGCTTCTAAAAACATTTGTGAAAGAATGGGTCGCTCTCAGGAGCTCAGTGAATTCAAGCGTGGTACAGTGATACGTTGCCACCTGTGAAATAAGTCCATCTGTGAAATTTTCTTGCTACCAAATATTCCACGGTCAATGTTAGTGGTATTATAACAAAGTGAAAGCAACTGGGAACAACAGCAACTCAGCCACAAAGTGGTAGGCCACGTAAAATGACAGAGCGGGATCAGTGCATGCGAACGTGCGCAGAAGTCGCCAACTATCTGCAGAGTCAATAGGTAAAGACCTCCAAACTTCATGTGGCCTTCAAATTAGCACAACAGTGTGTAGAGAGCTTCATGGAATGGGTTTCCATGGCCGAGCAGCTGCATCCAAGCCTTACATCACCAACTGCAATGCAAAGTGTCGGATGTAGTGGTGTAAATCATGTCGTCACTGGACTCTAGAGCAGTGGAGATGTGTTCTCTGGAGTGAAAAATATCGCTTCTCTGTCTGGCAATCCGCTGGACGTGTCTGGGTTTGGCGGTTGCCAGGAGAACAATACTTGCCTGACTGCATTATGCCAAGTGTAATGGTTGGTAGAGGGGGGGATTATGGTGTGGGGTTGATTTTCAGGGGTTGAGCTTGGCCCCGTTAGTTTCAGTGAAGGGAAATCTTAAGGCGTCAGCATACCAAGACATTTTGGACAATTACAGTACATGCTTCCAACTTTGTGGGAACAGTTTGGGGATGGCCCCTTTCTGTTCCAACATGACTGTGCACCAGTGCACAAAGCAAGGTCCATAAAGACATGGATGAGCGAGTTTGGAGTGGAGGAACTTGACTGGCCTGCATAGAGTCCTGACCTCAACCTGATAGAAAAACTTTGGGATGAATTAGAGCGGAGACTGCAAGCCAGGCCTTTAGCAATGGAGTCTTGCATACAGGCGGTTGAGTGCATTACTTATTGTTTTCTTTTAAACAATTGTACCTGCTAATTCCAGGTCTTTCTGAAGCTCTCCACAAGAGGTCATTGGCCTTTGGACAACTCTTATGATAATTCTTTTCACTCCTCAGTCAGAAATCTTGCGAGGAACACCTGATCATGGCCATTTTATGATGAAATGATGTTCTTTCCACTTTTGGATTATGGCCCCAATAGTGCTCACTGGAACATTCAGAAGTTTACAAATCCTTCTGTAACCAGTGCCATTTGCTTTTACCTATCATGAGATGTTTCTTGGGTGACACCTTGGTAATGAGACACCTTTTTATAGGCCATTAGTTAAGACTGAACCAGCTGATATTAATTTGCACTAACAAGGGGCAGGATTGCTTTCTAATTACTGATAGATTTCACCTGGTGTTTTGGCTTTCTATGCCCTTTTGTATTTCCCTTTCTTCATGTGTTCAATACTTCAATCCATTTTTGTACACATAACTAAATTTCTGAACTTATTTATTTTGGTTTATTTGTATGTATGGATTTCATGGGTTGTTACCAGCATGTGGTAAAAATTTCATGTCAATAGCACCTTTAGAAATATATTTACTGAGAAAAATGGTGACATGTTCAACACTTATTTTACCTGTTGTATGTACACACACTCACCAGCCATATTGTTTTATTGATTTGATTTGTACTTTACAAAAAAAAGTAAGAATAAATAAAACAAAATAAAAATGGAAACAAAGATGGACAACAAAGATCTGCTAAAAAAACAAGAAATAACCAAATTGATCATAATCATAGATGTAATTATTAATATAGGTCAGTTTAGATATTATGTAAAATGCACCCTTTTTATTTTTTATTAAAAGCCATCCTTCAAATGTCCCAATAGTATAGTCAGGTTTTGAAATATATGATTTATCCACCAAAAACTATTTACAGTATTTTGATTGTTTCATCACGTGATCAGCATCAACATTTAGTTATGGCACTGCTTGTTTTGCCACTATCTATTTCTATTTAGAAAAAATGTGTCTATTTAATGGTGGGATTTTTGAGGCACAACTCACACAGATTAAATTGAAATAATAATACCATCAACTTTTTTACAAAGATGGTTAAAAATTCAATACAAAATAGATAGAAAAATAAATAATAAAATAGATGTAAAGCTACAACTTGTCATAGTTGTTTGCTTAGAAACTGATTTGTTATGTTCAAATAGTCATTCCGACCTTTGCAGTTTAATTTTTCCAAACACAAATTTATTCTATGGCCTAGTTCGATGTGTCTCTTGGATTGTAATCCACTTCTTCAAGAGAAAAGCGATGGAGGATAGTTAAAAACATCACTACAAATATTCCAAAAAAAAGAGAAAACAATACAAATAAGCATAATTCCTTTTATATTAATAAGGAACACTTATTGATTTTCAGTGTCCATGTATTGGTTACAAATACCTGGAAACCACTAGAATTATGTCAGGCTCAGAGAATCCAATAGGGTGACCCGAATACAGAGCTGTGAGCCCCAAACCAACCCCCCCCCCCCCCCCCCCCCCCCAAGAGATTACCCTTTTCTTTCAGAAATTCACTGGAAGAAATCACCTTCCTTTACGATCTTCCATGTTACTAGCAAATACTAAAAAAGGAAAATTCATAAAAGAACTATACAGTAGATCAATTCTAAATATCTTTGCCAAATATTTCGAACAGCGTATTTAAAACACGTTCCCTTACTTTATAATCTATCAATAATATAGTATATGTTCCCAATGTTAATTTTTTATCATGAATCCTTTTTAAGAGGGGGCTAAAGAAGCTTTCTACAAACTCTCTGTCCTTCCTCTCTTTGCTATAAATAGGGCATGTTCACAAAGGTCTAAACGCTGATAAAATGTGTAATTTACATACAGACATTATGGGGTTTTTTTTCCAGGAATTGCCAGAAACTGAAGAAAGTGATGATCTACAAAACTTGGAAAATAAAGGCAAACAAAAGTTTAAAGTAAAGGAAATGTATCTGACAAAACTGCTTTCTACAAAGGTACAATTTTCAATGAAGTTTTAGGTCTTTTTTTTTTTAGAAAAATTCTAATAAGGAAGGTAGGATAGAGTGTCATACAGTGTAAAAGTATACTTTTTACATGGAAACACCTGTTCCTGAGACACCTTTTTTAACCTAAAGCAGTGATGTTAGTGACTAACAGTAGCTCAGAATTGGGGGTGCTGCCATCACTCACTTTCACCAAAAGATCTGCCAACATCAGCATTTCCAGAGACTGCTACTGCAGCCATGGAATACATTGTCAGGACCCAGAGGTCTATCAAATTGTTTTTTTTTTTTAATCAAGAAGTTTTTATACTTTATTACCCTTTCCATTCTACCTTAATGGATTAGAGTTCTTCTAAGGTGGACATAAACATTAACAAATTACCAAAACTCCTACTAGTTCATATCTTATGTTTTATGATTTTGACCAGTAAACTATGGTATGTTATGATTGCATTTTCTACTACCTTATTATAGCTAAAAAAGAAAAAAAAAAAACTAGAGTGTTTTCTGCTAAGTCATGATGTCTGACATTACTCTCAAATAATTAAAAGCCCTATGAGATGAGCCCTTTTACTGGCAGAGACCTACTCGGCTATACTGAATTTAGGAGAAATGGTTATGTATCGCACAAAGATTCACATTGCTACACATGTTCCTGGTTGTTACAGCAATAGGGTCACAATGAAAATGTATTTTGTTTAACACAAAAATGGTTTCACACGTTTTAACACATTTTAACACTATGTGTGGGATTATGCTTTGAGTCTATCAGAGAAAAATATTGCTTTAAAGGAGGTTATACATTCTAGAAAAGATACATTCATGATTCTAACTCATTCTAACATTCAGATTACTACTACTCCGTTGATCGTATGTACAAATACAGATGTAAAGTATCTCTTGTTCGTTCCATTTCCTACCTGAAATGATCTCTTTTTTTATTGCAGGTTGCCGTACATTCATCTGTAGAAAAACTGTTTCACAACATTTGGACAATCTCGCACAAACCTCCTATAGCTATAAAATACTTTTTTGATTTTTTTGGATGCTCAGGGAGAGATCAAAAAAGTTTCAGACCCAGATGTATTGCACATTTGGAAGACATATAGGTATGTTTGCATGCTTTGTGTTTGTATAATCAGTTGAAATAAGGTATAATAATTAAACTTTTCCGTGGATAAAGAATACAAATGTTAGTGTTAAATTAGAAACTTTCTGTTTAAATTAATTACATTATTATTATTATTATTATTATTATTATTATTACATCTAGTTTATATAGCGCCAAAGGGTTTGCTCAGCGCTGTACAATAGAGGGGTGGACAATACATGAAACATTACAGCACCTACAAACAGCACACGAGGGGTTATAGGGCCCTACTCTTTCGAGCTTACAATCTAGGAGGGAGGGGGGTAGTGGTACAGGAGGAAGTGGCTGTGGGGGATGGAGTGGTAGGAGGAATGAAGGAGAGCAGCAGTTAGGTGAGGGTGGGGTAGGCTTCCCTGAAGAGGTGGGTTTTCAGGGAGCGCCTGAAGGTGAGGAGGGAAGGTGACAGTCTGATGGATTGGGGTAGTGAGTTCCAGAGGATGGGGGAGGACCTGGAGAAGTCTTGCAGACGTGCGTGTGAGGAGGAGACCAGGGAGCAAGATAGAAGGAGGTCCTGTGAAGAGCGAAGGGTACGGGTAGGGTGGTACTTGGGAATCAGGTTGGTGAGGTAGTTAGGGGCAGTGTTGCGAAGGGCTTTGTAGGTCAGAGTGAGTAGTTTGAATTTGATGCGTTGGGCGATAGGGAGCCAGTGGAGGGATAGGCAGAGGGGGGTGACAGAGGTGGAGCGGGTGGTGAGGTGGATGAGTCTGGCCGCTGAGTTCAGGATGGTCTGAAGCGGGGAGAGCCTGCACTGGGGTAGGCCGGTGAGGAGGGAGTTGCAGTAGTTAAGGCGTGAGATAATCAGGGAGTGTACGAGTAGTTTAGTGGTGTCTGGGGTAAGGTAGGTGCGTATTTTGGCGATGTTCCGGAGGTGGAGCCTGCATGTGTTTGTAAGTGATTTGACATGAGGTTGGAAGGAGAGGTTAGAGTCCAGAATGACTCCAAGGACTTTGGCTTGCGGGGCGGGATTGATGGTGGTGATGTTAGTAGTGATGGATAGGATGGGGGGGGGGGGGGCGCGGGCAGGAGGGAAGACGAGAAGCTCGGTTTTGGAGAGGTTAAGCTTGAGGAAATTACATGTCATGTAGTTTATGATAGTCTTCATATTTATAGGGTGTGTGAACAGTGGTTAGCACTGTTAGATAGATTTAGTCTTGCTATATTAGTGCTTTCACTGAATCTCCTAGTGCGTTATAGTGATAATCACGTATGCTTGGTAACAGCTCTAGTCAAAAGACCATATATGTCTGTTTGTACCTTTTTTTAGTCTTCCTCTGAGGTTTTGGGTCAACATACTGAAGAACCCACAGTTTGTTCTTGATATAAAAAAGACCGCACTTCTAGAGAGCTGCCTATCAGTAATTGCACAAGCCTTTATGGATGGATTTTCTCTTACAGAACAACAATTAGGGAAGGTAAGGTATCATGTTAGGGGTTTTAGGAGAACATATTTTTCTGTTCTTTGAAAGTTTTCATGGCCATTAACTTATACCTATGTATTTTACCATGGCAAACATACTATCACTTGAAGCCAACACTAGCATTTTTTACAGTCCAGTCTACATTCGTAACCATGCCTGAAGATTGGCAAACGTTCTTATTAAAGTGGGCATAAGCAACAGGCAACTGCTAAAAACTAATTGTGTCTTTTAGATTTTTCTAATACCAGTGCCTACCTGATTGGATATGAATTGAATATTTTTGTAGCCTTTCCCACAGGATATTGTACAGAGATTGTACAATTAGCACCATACATGGAAAAAAAACTGTAGACATAGAAGTGTGACTGCTGTGAGGCTCTGGGAATAGATGGACCATAGCCCATGTCTAAATTGTAAAACAATATTTGTTCTTACAATATAATTACTGTACCTCTCACAGTGAAAGGTCACCTTGATTGCTTGCACAAAGGTTGAGAAATGCAGAATATATTTTCCATGCAGTTATTATCACACACTGATCCATCTGCTTGAACCAACGTGGTTCCCGCTTACTGTGAAGAAGCTGGTATTTCCCTTGGTATGTTGCTCCGGTTCAACACAGCAGTGGAAGACACTAGTTCTCAACAGCCCTGCCTGAACTTGCAGACCCTAAAGAAACTACTTCCAATTGTCTGGCTACAATATCTAACTTCAGCTACAATGGCCACCTTCATTTAGAGGTATAGATGGAACCCCTATAGAAATGTATTATGCTTTGTCATTCTCTGACAACCAGTGTTTTAGGAGGTGTAAATAGGGTTGCATATAGGCTGCTATAGGCCACCTGCCACTGATGGGGGGCCTCAACATTTTGCTATGGGATCCTATGTTGGCTCATTATGTCCCTGATATGTGGTCAGCTTTGAATGTCCTTAGAGAGAAAAATGGGGCATAGGTTTAATCCATTTATTACTTTGCTTTTTCAAAAAAATGTGTTGAAACAAGTGTAATTGCATCCTATTTTACAGTCAGCACCAACTAACAAGCTGCTTTATGCAAAAGACATTCCCCAGTTCAAAACAGGAGATAAGATCCTATTATAAAGACATCAGAGATGCTCCCTCACTGTCCCTCCACAGAATTTATTGAAATGGATCAAACTGATTTCATGCATATATTAAAAGACATGAAGAAAATGACTTTCCAAAAAAAAGGTCCCTCATTTCCTGAAATGGATGAATTTAATACAAAGGTATTTTTTGAAAGGATCAATATTAATGACAAACTGAATTTTGTACAGTTGTAAACAATATTATTATCACTGAGTTTTCAAAAAACATTGGTCAGTGCTAAAAAAAAAAAAAATATATTATTTAAAAAAAATAAGAAATAAAAAAATGGTATTCATGCAAATGTTAAAATGATATGAACTGTATTAAGCCTTGTGCGTACCTTTGGTGTGGGAAAAAAAAATGTCTGTCCACAAAGGTAAGATAGTCAGTGCCAAAAAAAGAAAATACAAATATTATTCTGCAAATGTATAGCTGTGTCTTACCTTTATCACACTACGTATCTGTTTGTAAAATCCAGTATTAGCCAAGTACCTGTTGTTGTGGGGGACAGATTTCTGAAGTATGTCATGTGTACTTTTATTGCCAGTATCTCCTAAATCTGTAGGAACATTCAACGGTTTTCAAGCAACCCAAATATTTACTTAGTAATGAAGGGTTGATGATTTACTAAAGTGCTATATAAAATTGACTGTAATGAGCAAAGTAACCCTTGAAATTGGAAAACCTTGTTTCTTTGCTCCAGTCTTCCAGTACCCCCAGCTTGTCATTTTTTAGCCATTCTGTCAAAATACAGTGCCTTGAAAAAGTATTCATACTCCTTTGAAATTTTCCACATTCTGTCATGTTAAAACCAAAAACATAAATGTATTTTATTGGATTTTTATGTGGTCAACCAACACAAAGTGGAACATAATTGTGAAGTGGAAGGTAAATGATAAATGTTTTCAAAATGGCGTCCATTTGTATTCAGCCCCCCCTGAGTCAATACTTTGTAGAACCACCTTGTTGCAATTACAGCTGCAAGTCTTTTTTGGCTATGTCTCTACCAGCTTTGCTTGTCTGGAGAGTGAAATTTTTGCCCATTCTTCCTTGCAAAATAGCTCAAGGTCTGTCAGATTAGATGGAGAGCATCTGTGAACAGCAATTTTCAAGTCTTGCCACAGATCCTCAATTGAATTTAGGTCTGGACTTTGACTGGGACATTCTAAACACATGAATATGCTTTGATCTAAACCATTCCATTGTAGCTCTGGCTGTATGTTTAGGGTCTTTGTCCTACTTGAAGGTGACCTTTCACCCAGTCTCAAGTCTTTTGCAGGTTTTCTT